TGGTTTGGATCGTCTTAAGATTTAAAGGTTTTTAATAAAGAAAATTTTTTTATTAGAGGTTTTTTGTTGCACTTGCAACTGAAAATGGGTAAGCTACTTTCCTCCATCCCTGCAATATAAAACATGTAAAGTATATCGTTTTGTAAGTTCGGATATTTCAAATTCTATAAAAGAGTATATAAAAAAACGTGACTTATTTTGTGTTCTAAGATCACATATTCCTATATATGTAAATACGTAAATTTAATACTTATTATAATTGGTGGGTTGTGATGCTTCAACCCTTTGAATTTCCCGCAGTTTAGGTTTTCTTCAACTACACGCGGGAAATAAAATATTAGAGATATTTCGAATTTTTGAAAACCTTATGTGAAACGTATCCCCAAAATGATTGATACACATACTTATAGATGGTTTGGATCGTCTCAAGATTTAAAGGTTTTTAATAAAGAAAATTTTTTTATTACAGGTTTTTTGTTGCACTTGCAACTGAAAATGGGTAAGCTACTTTCCTCCATCCCTGCAATATAAAACATGTAAAGTATATCGTTTTGTAAGTTCGGATATTTCAAATTCTATAAAAGAGTATATAAAAAAACGTGACTTATTTTGTGTTCTAAGATCACATATTCCTATATATGTAAATACGTAAATTTAATACTTATTATAATTGGTGGGTTGTGATGCTTCAACCCTTTGAATTTCCCGCAGTTTAGGTTTTCTTCAACTAAACGTGGGAAATAAAATATTAGAGATATTTCGAATTTTTGGAAACCTTATGTGAAACGTATCCCCAAAATGATTGATACACATACTTATAGATGGTTTGGATCGTCTTAAGATTTAAAGGTTTTTAATAAAGAAAATTTTTTTTTAGGGTTTTTTGTGCACTTGCAACTGAAAATGGGAAGCTACTTTCCCTCCATCCCTGCAAATATAAACCATGCTAAAGTAGTAAGGGCATCGTTGTTGTAAGTTCGGATATTTCAAATTCTATAAAAGAGTATATAAAAAAAACGTGACTTATTTTGTGTTCTAAGATCACATATTCCTATATATGTAAATACGTAAATTTAATACTTATTATAATTGGTGGGTTGTGATGCTTCAACTTTTTGAATTTCGCGCAGTTTAGGTTTTCTTCAACTACACGCGGGAAATAAAATATTAGAGATATTTCGAATTTTTGAAAACCTTATGTGAAACGTATCCCCAAAATGATTGATACACATACTTATAGATGGTTTGGATCGTCTCAAGATTTAAAGGTTTTTAATAAAGAAAATTTTTTTATTAGAGGTTTTTTGTTGCACTTGCAACTGAAAATGGGTAAGCTACTTTCCTCCATCCCTGCAATATAAAACATGTAAAGTATATCGTTTTGTAAGTTCGGATATTTCAAATTCTATAAAAGAGTATATAAAAAAAACGTGACTTATTTTGTGTTCTAAGATCACATATTCCTATATATGTAAATACGTAAATTTAATACTTATTATAATTGGTGGGTTGTGATGCTTCAACCCTTTGAATTTCCCGCAGTTTAGGTTTTCTTCAACTAAACGTGGGAAATAAAATATTAGAGATATTTCGAATTTTTGGAAACCTTATGTGAAACGTATCCCCAAAATGATTGATACACATACTTATAGATGGTTTGGATCGTCTTAAGATTTAAAGGTTTTTAATAAAGAAAATTTTTTTATTACAGGTTTTTTGTTGCACTTGCAACTGAAAATGGGTAAGCTACTTTCCTCCATCCCTGCAATATAAAACATGTAAAGTATATCGTTTTGTAAGTTCGGATATTTCAAATTCTATAAAAGAGTATATAAAAAAACGTGACTTATTTTGTGTTCTAAGATCACATATTCCTATATATGTAAATACGTAAATTTAATACTTATTATAATTGGTGG